CCCTTATGGGGTCCGTATCTGAAATGTGAGGTTATTCGAGAATAGGCAGCATGGGACAACTGCTCTCAATAGTAAACACTCTACCAAATCTCAGGATAGAGGCGGATCCAGACCCCATCTAATTGCCTTTTTAACTCCTCGACTGTCCTACAGTCTAGTAGTGAAGATGGTAGTTGGTTCCACTCATCTATCACTCTACTTGTGAAGAAGTTGTGTCTCAGGTTGTGTCGGCTTCTGGGCTTCATTAACTTCAAATGATGGTTGACTCGAGCGGTGCTCGGGTAAACAGGCTGTCGGCCTCTAGCCCAGTCAGCCCCTTCATTATTTTGAAGGTCTCACTAATGTCGCCTCTCAGGCGTCTCCTCTCCATGGAGAAAAGCCCTAGGGATTCTAACCTCTCCCTATATAACTTACCCCTCATCCCCGGAATCATTCTAGTAGCTAACCGTTGAACCCTATCAATGACAATGATATCCTTCTTTAAGTAAGACGCCCAAGCCTGCACGCAGTATTCTAACTGCGGCCTAACTATGGCCTTATATAGAGGTAGGAAAACCTCAGCCTTCCTTGACAAAAGGGCCGCCTTGAGCTGGAACAATGGCCCCCTCGCTTTTTGTGCGGCGGCTAGGCATTGATCACTGGGCTTTAAATCCAAAACTCCCAGATCCATCATTCGCTCTACGCGAGCGAAGACTGTCGGTTCAGTGGTCGTAGCCACGCAAACCGGAAGCCCTGCGGTATTTAGAACGTGACACTTGGTGGCGTTTAGCTCCAAGTCCCACTTCTGTGTCCACCGGACCATCTTAGCCAGATCACCCTCCAGTTGATCTACAGGTCCTGAGTTCACTAGTTTTGCGTCGTCGGCAAAGATGAAGACAAGAACCGCTAGCTCCCTGACCAAGTCATTTATAAACAGCAGAAGGAGCATCGGGCCTAGCACTGAGCCCAGAGCCACTCCACTGGATACACTGCCAACGTTGGACAGAGCTTCTCCCATCCGAACTCTATAGGTTCGGTTTGTGAGGAAAGCTTCTATCCATCTAACTAGAGCTGTTGGGAGACCAAAACCCCTGAGTTTTACTAGCAGGAGCCGGTGATTTACTGAGTCGAAAGCTTTCCTGAAGTTCAGGTAGCATACTTCGACTTTCTTACCTCCATCTGACCTCTTTGTAACTTCGTCTAAGAAACAAAGAAGGTTGCTCAGACACGACCTCTTTTTGAGAAAGCCGTGTTGGGCAAGGCTAATCAACCTATGTCGAGTGACGTGCTCACAGAGAGCATTCCTAACAATGGCTTCTAAGCCCTTACACAGCACGCTGGTCAGACTTACTGTTCTGTAGTTACCAGGTTGCTTCCTATCTCCACTCTTGTGGATGGCTACCACTGTAGCAGTCGCCCAATCACTAGGTACTCTCCCAGCACTTAGGGACTCCTGGTAGAGTGCAGTTATCGCGGGGTCGAGCACAGGGGCTAGCGGTTTGATGGTGGCCGGATGTAGCCCGTCTCTGCCAGAGGACTCGTTTACATTCAAGCCATCCATGACATCGAGAACAGTACTAACTGAAACTTCCACATCACCCATTGGATGAGTGTCTAAGCACTCTCGTGGGACCGCACGTCCATCGACTATTTTATAGACGGTTTCGAAATACCTCCTGAGCGTCTCACATTTTTCGTAATCTGAGACAGACAGCCCACCTCCGGGATTATCCAGAGTGCCTACCGATTGCCTTAGTGCAGTCTTCGATTGCATATAGCCATGGTACCTCTTGGGTTCCTGGCGCGTTCTCTTGGCGATTTTAACCTCGAAGGTCATTTTCGCCTGTTTTACTAGCTTGTTTGCATAGTTTCTCCCCTTCTTATATTGGAGCCATCGTTCATGTCCCCCTGAGAGAACAAATGCATTCCACCTACGAGTCCTTTCCCCTATGGCGCGTTTCAGGGCTGGATTCCACCACTGCGGTTTGTGGATATCCCCTGAGGCTGCAAGGGAGCATGCCTCTTCGTCAGCTCTAATAGCTGGTCGCGGCTTATCCCCCATCGTTGATCGACGGACGCTTCTGTTCCCATGCGGGAACCATGCTCTGGCTTGAGCATCTCGTTCATTCGCCCGAAATTGCTGCCCCACCTCCGGGGTGGCTTTTTCTTTGCAATGCATGATTCTAGCAGCAGTACATTGCAATTACTTTTACCGAGAGGAACCCCCTCTTAGGTCGCTGATCTCACTCTCTTGCCGAATGAGGACCAGATCCACGGTAGAGGGTCTCTGTCCTAGCCGGATACGCGTTGGTTCTCTCACGTGTTGGTAGAGTGATGCCGCATGGAAGCAGTTCATGCATTCATGTTCTACTTGCCCTTCACCCTCGTCTTCGTACTGCTATTCTATTCCTGGGAGATTAAAACCCCCCACTATGATCAGAGAGTGCTTTCCCCTACCGGCAGTGGTAATGCGATTTATTAGCACTCTATCATCCTCCGGTCTGGAGTTTGGTGATCTGTAGACACCTAATATGCAAAAGTGTCGGCCTCTGCTTCTTACAATGCAGCCAGTAGCTTGCACTGTGGGGGTACAAGGTGTTTGCTCAGGCATTTCCCAATGGATATACTGCCCTCCTTATCGGTTCTGTAGTGGGTAAAGTTTGGAGGGGCTAGCTGTTCGACTGATATGGTTTTGGATAACCAGGTTTCAGTAAGGATCACAATGTCACAATCCTGGTTCCTATTCCCTAGCTCACCCCATTTGTTTCCAGCGCTGAACACATTCGTGTGGCTGGAAAAAGGGGCTTGTGGGTGTTTATACCTCAAGTTATCAGTGCCCTCGGGCGTAACACCCGAGAGCCAACTTCGATTTTGATGTAACAATTCGCTGCACATCCTGCATGGAGCAGTTTCCGTTCCTTTCGGGGGTGAAAGCGTTCGGTAGCGGTTCTTCAAACGACAGTTTCACAACGGCAGTTTTCTTTTCTTGCCTCTTGTTCTCCTCCAAGTTTCTTGATAGATCGATTCAAGCTGGTTGTGATCATCAAATCACGTACCAGAAGCACTTTCACCCTACACTGGTGATTAGCAACAGAACCGGTTCAGTTTGCAACCAGTCAAGCCTAGTTGAGTAT